CTGGATCCACCCCAACAGCTGCTCACTATGGATAAGCAGAATTAGGCATGGAGTTTCATCCAGGAAAATAGGACAAAATTAACTATCTTCAGGTAACTGGGAAAAAAAACATCTGGCAGCAGTGGGTCAGCCATAACACCCAGAGCAGAGCCAGCTCTCCAGGTACCTGGCTCCTCAAACAAACCCCCACAGGTGCTCAGCCATAGGCAACCACCTCACTTCTTACTCCACAGTCAGCCTGAGCTTTCCCAGGCTGGGTGAGCAGCAGTGCTGGAGAGGTCAGGGAGTGCAGTTACCCCAGAGTTTGCTCGGTGACAGCAGAAGTGTGAGAAAAGGCAGCCTGGCATGCCTAATGGGGACAAAGATACCAGATTCAGTCTGTCTAGTTTGATAAACAAACTAGAAATGCTGAGAAAGTTTTTACTTTATTTGCAAAGTCATTGAAAATAAACAACACTAGAGTAAATACTTTTTGGGGCTATTTTATGTCAGACCTGAAGAATCCCCATTTGAAAAGGACTGGCAGCTGGCTAATTCTTTCTCAATCTCCTAAATTTTTACAAGGTGACAGGGCTCTAAATGCCTCACAAAAACTGCAACAGGCTCAGAGAAGTCCGTTGAAGAGTGGCTGGAGAGGCTCTCACCATGCTCAGCTCTTCAAAAGCAACAGTGCCATAGCTGGCGCTCAAGTGGTGCCTCAGTCGTGAAAAGCAAAGTGTAGGGATGTGCTCCTTTCTGAGGGGAAAAAACAATCCTAACTTTTCTCTCTGCCTTGTGACTACAGCAATATGCTCAATATTCACAATGCATTCATCCTGTTGCACAAAGAGCACAAAGAAATTCATCCAAGTACTCCTTGCTCACCACATTTGGAAAAACCAAGAGCTTCTCACAAGAATTTCACTATTGTAACAGATACTTTATCAAATCATAGGGCATTGTCCATGAACAGCTTCTCCACAGTGACCAAGTGGGCCCTAAAGCTTCCTGAGGCTTTTTGTAACTGACTGAAGGCTCGACCCAGGCAGAGCCTAAACTCCTCCTGAGAAAATTATTTAAAGGGAGAAGTTTGATAATCAAATATAGATCCAGACATATGCAGCAACAGCCTTGATAGCACACAACTAACCCTGAGAAGGGAGCAGAGACAGCATTCGCAACAGCAGTCACCTCCTGGTCCGAGCCTGACTCCCACCTGAATCAGGCATAAATGATCTCTGTGCCTACACAGCCACTGCTCACACAGTCAGCAGTGTTGTGCATTCAAGCTCCTCTGAGCAACTGCACTTGTGGAGCCTGGCAGCAGCATGGCTGGGGCTGGAGCATCCCTGTCCTGCTGCATCTGCAGAAGTGTTGCCCTTGCCAAAAGCCAACGACACATGAGTCACAGCACAGTTCCCACCAGACCAACAAACTGGTTCATTTCTGGAGTATATAGACAGGAAAATGACTCTCAGGGATAAAACAGTAACAGAGATCAGCACGTCAGACAACTCCACTGAAGCTGAGTCTGCCCAAGCACCAGCCAGGCACTGCCTGACACCACAAACCATTGAGGTGCTCCTCAAGGACTCAATCCACGATAAATAACCATAGCGAGAAATCATGGTTTTACTATTTTATAAATTCAATCCCGTATCAGACCTTAATCCACCCATGACAGCAATTGTGAGCTCCCTGTCATACACTCAGTAGAGAGATCGTGCTCACACTGCCCCCCAGGAATCATCCAAAATCAGGGTAGAGGAGGGCAGACAAAAAACTGCAGAAGGCAAGGAAACCTTACTGTACATGATACACGGTCAGAAACTGTTTCATGGGTGACTGTCTCCAAGCCAACACTTTCAACAGCATCCATGGAAAACTTCAGGGGAACTAGCTGGCAGCAAGGCAGAAAACAAGGCAAGGTTTTGCCATAATAGCCGATATCTGATGATTAACATCGATCTCACTCCAAGAGAGATCTCACTCCAACATCACTCACTCCTTTTCCTTCATTGCATCAGGGGTGGTGGGGGGAGTGGGGATGACAGGGAAAGCAATACTGACGTCACATAAATTTCAGACGGGAGCCTTGTAGTTACAACTCTCCAAAGCCAACTTCCAAGGCGTGTTTGAGGACAGATGTTTTTCCTGCTCAAACACAACGCACACCAAACAAAATGGACACGAATCCACACTTCCAAGAGGCTTCTCTGGAAAAATTCTGCATGTTTCCAGACCTGACAGTAATGCCCTGGGATCATTAAAAAGCCTTGAAGGGAAAGAGCTACACATTGGCAAAACGAAGTTAAACTAATGATTCAAAGTATTCGTGATTTCCTTCCACAAATACTGAACAGCAAAACCTGCCCCTGGAGGAAGCAGCTCATTTCAGGAATCCTGTCTCTTAGCACCCTGCTTCCAAGATAACCATCTCCGCAGGAGCACAGAGAATGCCACATTTCACCCATTCAGTCCCTCGTCTTGTCCCCAGCTAACGTCAAGTAGAAGGCACAAACGGAGCAGTGTAAAGACACATATGGAGTAATGGTTAAGTAATCACAGAGTCGCAGAATGGTTTAAGTTGGAAGCGACTTTAAAGCCCATCTCATCCCACTCCCTGTCCTGGGCAGGGACACCTTCCACTATCCCAGGATGCTCCAAGCCCCGTCCAACCTGGCCTTGGACAAGGATTCCAGGAATCCAGAGGCAGCCACAGCTTCTCCGGGCAATGTTTCCTCTTTGCATGAGCTTCTTAAAGATATTTCTTTTTTAAAGGAATTTTAAAAATATTCCCTCTTTAAAGTTGTGGAATGGAGACCAGAGTTAAATGTGCAAACAAACTGCAAGGGCCAGTGCTGCGTCATTCTTTTCAGTGAAATCTGTGCCAGGGAGGTTGAATCCAGATTTGCAAAAGAGCCTTAAATCACTGCAGAGTTTCTCCCTGCCATCTCCAGTGCCCAGCTTTGCATCCTTGTGGCAGATGAGCAATGTCAGCAGCACCAGCTCCTCTCCATATCCAAGTCTTACTCTAAGCAAGCTGGGAATGCAGTGGGAAAACAGGATGTGGTCATGCATTAAGGTACCCCATCAAGACATAAGGCAACCAGAAAGCCAAATGAAAGGCACACAGACAAACTTCAGCTACTTTCCCAACTTCCCAAACTGAAAACTGCAAAACTTTCCCACTACTGGATGAGTGACTTTGGGGGTTAAACATTCTTTCAAGATTTTTATGAAGTTTTGTAACTGAAAGACTGAAAATCAGCGGACCTGTGAACTACCTCATTGAAACCTGGTATTTAAAGCTGAGGATCTGTGCTGACTTCCCCCATGTCCCTGCAACACAGCACTGGCTGGGAATGTTGGGTGATGGCAGAGCAACAGGATATGCAGGACTGGAACCAGAAAGGCCAGGAATTCTACCAGCACGTCTGACCCATTTGCTGCATGTTGAAGCAATATTCAGTCAGGAATAAAATTAGTTCAGTTCTGGGATCTGTAGGAGATCTTTTTAGGCGCAGTTTTCCCACTCTGATGGTGCAGCATGGATCCCTCAGTTCTACCTTACTCCTTGGCTCACCTTTTGCTCAAGAAGTTGCTCCATTTATTCAATCTCATGTCATTTGCTTAACTGCCACTGAGGTCAAAGCACGCTGTGACACAATCCTCACAACTGAGAGCAAAAAAAATATGGCTTGTAGTGAGCAGCCGGAAGAGCTGCAGCCAAGAGGGCCATCAGGAAATTAAAGATCATAAGAATGCCAGCAACATGTTCTGAGCTCCTGCTTGGCCCCAGTGCAACAGGCAGGTGCACACCCACCAGGGCCCTGGAAGCTGCACCCACACCCTCCTCCCCAGCCAGCCTGCCTCTCCTGGGAGCACAGCCATGCAACGCAGCCACCGTGGGGCAGGTAGGCACCAGTGTGGGCCAGAGACTTCCCAACCAGCAGCACAGAGAGTAAAGCCACACAGAGACAGAAGCAGGCGTATCACATCTGCACGCCCTTCTCTTCTTTCTCCTGCAACCTCACCCAATGATGGTGACTGCCAAGAGGACCAAGCTTCCTCACACTTAAATGGTGCCAGGATCCTTCAGAAGGGCTTCCCTAGTGCTCTGCAGCTCAGGAGAGAGCTCACGGATCTCTTTCCCACCTACCAAACTGAGCATCCTCATGAGCAGCACCAGCAGCCCTGAGGGAGCCAAGTGCTCAGAGGAACCAGCTGAGGCTGCAGCTCCTCTGCTCTGCAGAGCCCAGCCCCAGGAGCAGCCCCAGGCAGGGCTCAGTGCACTGCTGTGGGGAGCACCCAACAAATGCTAGAGGCACCACATCTGCTCCTGCTACACAACCCAGGGACAAGAATGAGTCTGGAAAACAAATGCAGAATTACCTGAACAGCTGGAAATCGACACTGTTCTATGTTTTAGGAAAACACTGGGTTTTTCACACCATTTTCAAGCACAAAATGTTTATTTCTCTCTTAATCTATACAATTCCTCGGGACTTTTAGTGCCACTGACTTTGTCAGTATACAAGGGATGGACTATACAGGCAATAGCGACAGAAACTGTAGGATTCAGTGTGAGCCAAAGGGAACCCGGTGTGAGAACATATTTTCCATGTTTGCTCATGAAGCATACAGACATGAATCTAAAAAACCCAAACAAATTAAAGATACATGGTACAGAGAACAGAAATCTCTTACTGTGGTAAGTATTTTGCCCAGGCAGAAGACTCTGCATAATTGTCTGCAAAATTCAATTCTAACTGAATTGATGGAATAATATATTCAAAGGGTACAAACAAAATAATTTAGACAGGCAAAATGCTCGAAGTACAATAGAACTATACAATTCACAGCTTGGCAGCACACGACGTCTCTGCCCCTCAGCAGAGGGTTACAAAACGTCGTTGTGGGGCCTTTGGGTGTGGCCACACCCGGGTCCTGTGCCTGTAACGCTGGCCCTAGCGCTCAGGGAGGGAAGGAGACTTACCATGGCAAACCAGCTCTAGTGATTACCGTGTGCCTTTACACTGAGGTGCAGGTGGAGGCTCTATGCGCAGTAAAATGGGCAAAAAGCAACTTTCGAACAGAAGAGAGGTGTCCGTGCCACCTGGAGCACAAACTTGGGTAAAAAATAAAGACAAATAAATAAATAAATAAATAAATTACAAACAGAAGGCGGTGAGACTCCAAACCTGAAGTGTCAGATACGAAAAAGAACAGTTTCACATTTTTATTCTGTTTTGGCATGAACACAGCTGGCACACCAGAGCCCAGATGTAGCCCTCAAGCTCCGTGGCCAGGCAGAGCCTGACTGCGCACATGGGGCTCACACCCACCTGCAGATACCTTCTGCTATGATCAAGAGTTCCATTACTTGTCTTCACTTATGAAACATGCATAAGCTTGTGATTTAACTAAATTATAAAAGCCCACACAGGGAAAGGAAATAAAATCCAGTGTGCTGCTGATCCAGAGGAAAACAACATTTGCTGCCCATCACAGAATTATGTCACCATCTACAATGACTTTACCACAGGCTGGGAAGGAGAACACAGAGTGCTGTCTGAAGCTGTTCCCTGGCCTTGTATCCACCTTCCTTGGATTACCCTGTAAGTGCTCCTACATTTCAATGTGCACTTCACTACCCCTTGTACAAAACACCAACAATTTTATGATCAGTGCATCAAACAAACATGTCAAACAAACCTCACGTCACAATTCTTATTTCTAAAAGCTTCAGAAATAAAAATTCAACCTGTGAATAAAAACAAAAGCATTTACAGCAGAATGAAGCTAATGAGGAACATCAACAGTAAACCTGCAATATCTTTGCAAATAAGAAGGACTCCAACTCACAAGCAGATTGTAAATAAAATACACCTTTCAAATAATTGTATGTCTCTTTCCAGCTGGGACTGGAAAGCTGAGATTCAAGGCACTGAACTCCTGCAGGGTTAGTACAATTTGCTAATGACCGATTCAAGAACAATGATGTTAAGGATCGCAAGTGTGAAACAGAACACAAGGAACCAAGTGTCTTCAGCAACTGGACAGGAGCAGATATTGCCGTGATCACAAACGATCTGTGATGATGCCGCCTCAGTGATTGCTGATGCAGGGTATGGCCCTGGGGCCCCCTCACCCCACACAGACCATGGCATGTACAGAGCAAACACTCCAACGCGATGGCGTCAAAACTCGGGGACCCGAGGCGGGCTCACCCACGGCAGGGCCAGCCCCGGCTGGGCCCGGCGCTAGGTCATTCGCAGCCGCGGGCTGGGCGGCCGGGCCGGGCGCTGCAGCGACACCGGGTACATCCGCAGGCAGCTCCGGCCCAGCGGCGACAAGCGCACGACGCTGGGCGCTGGCACCAGCCCCTGCTGCGCCACCGGGCCCGGCCATGGCATTCCGTACACGGGTGAAGGGAACATGGCTCCGTACTGACAGAGAGGCATCACATACGGTGTCACCGCGCCGGCCAGCGCGGGCCCTGGCACGGGCACTGGCAGGGACGGTGCAGCTCCAGGAGCTAATCCCGTGGGCATGGAGCAAGCCAGCGGAACAGGGCACTTGGTCCCCAGTCCTGTCCTTACCGAATTTACCTACAAAAAGAGAAACACAAGAAGTGTTGCTACGGGGCTCTCCCCATGCCAGCAGCATCCCGGCCCAGCGCCTGGGCAGCTGCGGCCACAGGCACAGGGGTGCCACAGTGTCCTTGGGGCTCTCTTCTGGGCTCATTTCTTTTTTCCTTTCATACGTATGTTGAAGGGTTGGGGGGGGGGGTTGTTTGTTTGTTGTTTGGTTTGTTTGTTTTTGTTTTTTTAAAGACAGAATATTTGGAAATGAATAGAAAAGGCTGATATGAGGAAGAGGGGAAAGTTAACTCAATATAACCTCATTCTTTTAGAAGGCAGGAACCATCATTAAACTAGTGAAAATGAACACCCTCGCATGTCCAGAGGAACTCACGTATCTGTTAACTTGTGCATAAAAGTAAATAAATTTCACTAAACACAGAATTAACCCAAATTTCACACTACTACAGCCAGCCTCAAAAGAGCTTTAAAAATCCTAGCCCTTATTTCTGTACAAAGTTGTTTCACCCAGCCACGGGGAGCTGAGGTGGCAGATCTATTGTGGTGGCTCGGTGCCTGATGCCAGTGCTGGCCATGCCAGGTGAGGCAAAGCCAGCGAGGACACAGCAGGGCTGCTCTGCCTCCTGGGCTGCCAGGACCAATTCCAGCCGGTTTGCTAAAATTCTATTAACATACACTTCAATTATTCAGCTTTTGCATGTGAGGGGCAGAGAAAGAGCTCTCCTCCCTCAATATGGGACGGCGGAGCTTCCTGAATTACACACTCCATTCTGCATGATGCCATGGGAACTGCTGCTACCCCAAACGTTTGCAGCATTTCATTACATTTTTCATGCCACAGAATTTACAGCTCCCTGCCAGGGTCCCCACCAGCCCATCAGTTATTTGTGGCATAAGGAAAAAAAAGGGCGTTATTCAATTCTAGGAGTCTCCCTTAATGTGATATTTCATGTTCAATTGTATGAAGGTGAAATTTCAGCAGAAAAAATGAATATATGTTTAAGGCTGTGTGCAATGCTTACTCCACGTTTCTGATTTTAATCTCTCTTCTCAATTAACAATAAAAATGGCAGTGTCCCCGAGATGTCTTGCTTTGGGGCATTAATCTCTGTTCCACGGGCAATTTTAGAAAAATAGAGAACTATTTGATACTCTCCTTCACTTCTCTGTCTCCCATTCTCAGCTGAAACCTGAATCTGATGATGAATGTTGAACTGAAAGACATGCTTCAGGATCATGAATTTAACACCAATAAAGTAAAAAACCCGACCAAAATTAACAGAAACAAAGAACAAGAAACAGAGGAACTAAGGATGTATTTTTAAGACCTGCAAACTTATGTAAGCTGATACTAGGTTCTTGTTTTAACATCCTCAAAATGGTGGTTTCCACCAAACTAAGCACCTGTGAGGAATGCCAACAGATGCTTGTGAAAATACTGCATTTTGGACAATGCTCTCAGGCATGCATGGGACTGTTAGGGTGCCCGGTGTGGGCCCAGGATTTGGACTATACTAGCAAGAGGTTATTCAGTGGCACTGAAAATGCAAGGTGACATTTTTGCCCTTTTAAAAAATTAATTTGAAAAAGCTTATTTTCAGCTCTTTTAAAGTACTGAGAAACCGGACTCACTGCAGTTCAGAACTTTTTCTTTCTCAGCTGAATTCCTCAATAAAGCAGTGGCTGCATTTAATGCTCCATATGTGTGACCAGAAAAAATTGTCATGCCCCAAACCCAACATTACACATATACATTAAATCTGATAACATCATGATAAACACACGTTAATGGTTTAAGTTTGCTTCCTCTGCCTTCCTTCTATGCTTCAAGTGAGCTAAATTTTAAGAGCCATGGCACCTGGCTCTTGCATCTTCCCCTGGGCAGGGGCCTCCTGGGTATGGCCTTTTATAACCATCACCTTTTTAACCAGTTCTGATGACTCAACACTGATGGAAGCCCACACATCCCATCAATTCCCGCATGGAGGTGCCAACTGAAACATTAGAATTAACACGCACCAGAAAAGCAGCCCCAAAGCAGTGGATTTCCCAGCTCCAGAAAAGTCATGAGACTGCAAGTCCCTTTGCTGATCCCATTCAAAGGGCAGCAGATGGACATTCAGGCAGTGAGGGATAAGGTGTGTGTGTGTGTCACACTGCTGGGATCACAGCACAGTCCTAGCTCAGCATCTCGAGCCAGCCAGGGTGATGTGGGATGACAACCAGGGAAGGCTCTCGGCTGCATAGTGCTGTGTCCACGGTCAGGGGTTCACTGAGCTGCCAGGGGTGACAGTCACCAGTGCAGCCATGAGCCCGCCTGGGCTCCTGTCCCTCCTGTGCTGGCCAGCTTTAGCCCTCATAGCATCCCCACAGCCTCCTCTGGACTCGTTCCAAGTCCTTCTTGTGCTAAGGACCCCAGACCTGCAGGGAGTCCTGAGGGTGGGGTCTCAGAAGGGCAGGGTGCCATGTATTATATGGGTAGGAAGGGAAGCTCTTCCCCTCTACATTTCCACTAGGCTCCTCTTCTGAAGCAATGAACTAAGCCAAGAGAGAAGAGGTACGTTCACCTGTCACCCTCACACCTCTGCAGTGCCACCTCCTTACCTGCTCCCACCCAATTCTCCCTGCACTGACAAACCTCTGCTCGGAGCACCTGTACAAGTCCCTGCAGGTACCAGCCACCAGCTCCTGCCTCCACCACACTTGCATTCTCCTGAAAGTTTTTTCTTTGTGGCTGTTTATTCCCCTTCCCCCAAATAATCACACAATCTCATTTAGAAAAAAAGAATAATACATACACAGAGAACTGGAAAACACTGGTAAAAATGAAAAAAACTCACAAGACAAAGACTAGGGTAGTTCAAATACCCCAGATCTGTTCTTTGGACTGGTTTTAATTTTTCCTGTGCTCTACCAGGCAAACTTCAAAGTGGCACTTCAGTGATTCTCAGCTCCAGTACTGTTGAACTACATAGCCAAGCACTGGGTGTGACTTACCAACATCATAAATACTTCTGGGTTTATATCAAAACAGAGGAAAACAGGTAATTCTGATGTGAAACCTGACCATAACTATTTGAAAAGGCAGGATTTAAATTAAGTTTTCTTTTGCTGGCTACACCATTAGCATCAGTGTTTTCCTTCTGTATAGACGAGCTACCGCTGAAACTAAACTGAGTAACAGGGCAGAGTCAGGGCTGGCAGCCAACATGAGCAGGTAAGAATGCTCTTTTATCACTTCTGCCCACTTTGCCGAAACCCCAAAGCTTTTAGGTACTCCTGAAGAGATGCGTGCGTGCTTTTCCAATTCCCTGGAAAACCATTCTGCCATTCAGACTAAGGCAGCGTTGAATAGTTTCAAACACAGATTCATTTTTTATTATTTTCCCAATCCAAAAGAGACGGAAGGCACAGTGAAGGGGCTATGGCTTGGTTTTGGCACCGTGGCCATGCCCAGCCCAACTGCTCCCAGTAGCACACCCAAACCCATGAGTCAGGAAATCCCAGCAGAGGTTCAGATGTTGCTGAGGGTGTCCAAGCCCCCAGCCCACATCACCCAGTGACACAGACCTGTGTGTTCTCAGAAACAACCTCACTATGCAATGGAAACATTTTTCAGCTTTTTGGGGGTAATATTTTTTTTTTCTGTAAAACCTATGGAGCTACATACAGCCTGGAGAATAGAAAACATTTCTGGCAAGCCCTTCATTCTCAGGCACCTCCAAATAATGTCTCTAAGTACACAGTATTCAGTATTCTTTGCACAGAAGGCAGCTCACATTCCTAATCTTACTCCTTGACTAATGCTAACCAAAATTACCTGTAAAAATGATTATTTTATCATATCTTCACAATGATCACAGAGAAAAATCACTCAGGTGGTTTGACCTCAGTTCTTTCTAATATTTCCTACTGCATTTCAAACTGCTGCTGCTGAGATTCTACCTGCATTTCCATGCTTCAAAAAATCATTTGAAAAGGAACATTTCAATGCTCCTGTGACACAACTGGATGAAGGTTCCTTCCCCCCCCCAGATTTCTAATATGATCAACCAGGATTTGCAGGCAAATGGACTGGTAAGAAAAACACTCACTCTATTAAACACACTACCAGTTTCTCTTCTATTTCCAGCCTTAAAGAGTAGCCTTCACTTAGTTAAAAAATAATTTATTTTATTCACAGCAAACAATTTGCTGCTGTTGGTAGATGGAGTCTTGAGTAAAAAAGAGATAACTCAGGTGAGTCCGCTGTTCTGGGGGAAAGAGAAGATTCCAAGTTGACCACACAACTGCCCTGCATATTCTTAACAGTGGGTAAACAGTAAGAAATTTTAAAGAAAAAAAATTATTTTTCTATTTAAATGCATAGTTAATATTTTATATATTTTTACAATTGTTTCACGTATTTTTCATCATGGGACAACTCCCTTCACTCCTACTCCTGTATGAAAGCCTTTAGGGAGGCATTTCTCTTTACAATAACGCCCAGAGACAAGGCAGAAGTTAAGATACAAATCCTGCCGCCCCCAGACCCTCATTCCTGACCATCACAAGGGACCACTTTTCCCAAAAAAGTAACAGTTTTTCCCCAAAACTATGCCCACGTGAGACAGCCCACCCTAACAGCTCCATACTAGTTTGTTCCAGTTGAAAAAAATACACAAAAGGCATAAGAATCACCTCGTTTCCTACTGATCCAGCCTTTATTTCCAACATAAAACCTATTATAACCTTCTCTGGTAGGCTAGAAAACTGCTTAGTGCTCCTTATTCTTTTCTTGCAAAGGCATTTTTGATCAAAACAGATGACAAAAGACGGTGTTACCACATGAACTGAAGAAGTGCATCCTGAGCTTCAGATTCTCTCTCTTGGAGAGCTATTTTTTCCATCCTTTCTGTGATTTCCCAAGTTCTTTTTGTCTTTCCAGTTGACTCAGCTGTGATTCAGCACAGGTGTAACATCTCCCCATGGAGCTCATCCCTCCAACACTGACACACAGGTTACTTGTCCAGATGTCCACAATAGGAGTCCTCTCATGCTGTTCCCTTCCTCCTCCTTTGGCCATTTTTCTCCCAACACCACACAGCCCTCTTCTCCCTCAACTTCAATTTCCCCTTTAGGGTCAATTTCAGAGGGTATAAACAGCAGAATGATGCTGATCTCCCAAACCAACCCTTGTCAAACTCTTCTATGTCATACCTGCCACTTGCAGCATCCTGTGTCATCTTCGTGGCCAAAACACTCAACAAAAACTACACCAGCAGTGTTTGCTGTCTGCTCTTCCACCTCTGCTGCAGCCAGCACGGTCCTTACGAGGTTTTCATGCCCCAAACCGCCCTAGGTCTCACCCACCCCAGGGCCCCAGCTGATGGCACTCCTCCACGCCACAAGGAATGACGTGAAATGAAGAGCAGGGAATCCCAACATCTCCATGCTCTTGGCAAATCACCTCCAAAAAACTTCAGTCAGCTCTGCTGATTCCCTGGAACAACTGCCATGGCTGAGAAAGACACAAACCCTCTAAGATCCAGTGCACTGAGACACTGACATTCCGGCTGCTCTCACAGTGACACACTGCCTTCTCCACAGGCTTTGAGACAGATACACCAAAACTGCAGGAGATAAAATCAACACGAAATTGATACTAACGGGTGATTGAAATAAATAAAACAACCACTTGTTTCTCCACAGATACAGGTGGTACAAAACATCCACATCAAATACTTCAAACTTCTGCAGCAGTCTCAGGGGAAAGACACCAAAATACTGCAAAAAGCACTTCAAAAGAAAGTAAGAAGGATTAAAAAAAAATCTGTGCTCTTTCCACCACTTTATGGAAATCTTCAGTTTGGGTTTAACTAGCACCAACTTTGACTTATTTTATGAAAACTGTTAGGGTCTTAAGTAGACATTGCTTACTCCCGAGCTAGTGAAAGCATTACTGAGTAAAAGGATTATCTACTCATTCAGGAATCAGCAGGTACCAAAGCAGACACACCGGTGAGGTTCATCTGTTTTGGTACATTTGGTACATTTCACCTCACCAACAGCTACAGAGCTACTACTGCTACAGGATTTTTTTCCTTCTACATCCCAAAAAGGCAGCGGTTTGCTATCCAGATCTAGTTCTCTTGCTTTTAGGGAATCACAAAACAGCTCCTCACTGTTATTTTCCTCTATTTTGGCTCAATTTGCAGTCTTCCAAGAAAATGAACCCTATAGTCAAAGAATCTCCAACTGTGAAAAGGAAGAGGTTTGGAAACCCAGACCAGGGTGGACCAGAATGGTGAACTGGGATTCTGGATGTGTGCTCATTTCTTGCTGGGCTGCCTCTGTATCAGCCCTCAGCAGTACTGAATGCAGACACGATGCACCTGCAACAGCCTTGTCTTGCTGCTGAAAACAGGAAGGGACCAATGTGGGCATTCCAATTCCCTGCCTGTTGTAGGATACTGTGACAGCATTTCTGAGGATGGTATTGTCCAACGAGCAAGGGTCAGCACACCCCTAGCTGTCCCCTCTCCCAGCACAGGACTCACTCGAATTCCACTCAAACAACAGCTCCCAATCATGGAGCCACCAACCAGCTCCTGTTCTGAGGAAGGTTAATATTAAACATCAAAAAGAAAACTTTAGTAATAGTTGAAACTGAAGTTGAGCAACAGATGATAATGATAGGAGTATTGCATATATTGCTGTTAAGAAGCAGTTTGGAATTTAAAAATATTATTTTTATATATATTGCTGCCCATGTATCCCTTAAGGCTATTCCAAAGCACAATTAAAAAAAAAAAAGATTTAGTACTGAATGAAAAGAGCTGGACATTTATAGAAAGCATTTATCTGGAGAAATTTTAGTCTATGTCCTCCTCACATCTGAGTCCTGCAAAGGCTGTCAGACACATAGCAAAAGGTATGTCCATCAAGGAGGGCCACTTACTCCACATGTCTCATTCTGTGTTTGCATGGGGTTAGCCTTTGGCTCCATGTCTTGCCTTTTTTGGTTCTGCTTCAGTTGGTTTAAAGAAGGTTTTGTCTGTGCAGCTCCAACAGTTTTGCTCGTCCACTGGTCCACCAGCTTGTGCAGGTCGTCTGTGAACGTCCCTTTCTTGTTGTTACTGTTGTTGGCCTGAACCTGCAGCGTCGACTGTGGGAGGGGCTCGGGACACGTCACCAGACTGTTGGTCGAGGATCCTGGAAAATCACACAGAGAGCTGAGATGGGGTCTCTGTCTCACCCCTGCAGCCCAAATCCCTTCTTACCTACTGCCACTCCAATGGTGGCTTTTTGGATCTCTAACCCTCCCCCTCCTGGCTGCGGAACACATTTGCTTAAAGAAATGGTCCAAATCCAATGGGTTTGCATTTTCTATCACATCATGTTACCTTCGCCACTAAATTGTGGGTGAAATTAGGGACAGAGAATGAAGCCAGGAATGCAGCCCTATAAAGCTGACATCCCATACAACATCTCCTCAGAGACCTACATGAGGAAGAGGGAGGTGGGATATATTGCTAACACTGCAAGCAATACAAAATGAATTTACCATTTATTTTACTTGCATAAGTTTACTGTCCTCCTGGAAAAAAGTCATGGTCAAAGAGGTTACAGGCAGGGCTGGTTCCTGCACCTCTGGGAGCCCACCACCTCTCTTGATGATGCCAGGACCACTCACGTGGCTTTTTGCATATCTTAGGGAAAAAACCCCAGCAGGACCAAGAAAGTATAGAAGAGAGAGGAGAGAGGATGTAGTGGGCAGGGCAACCATTTGAGACAAAAACAGAGAGCTTTTGGTACAGATAAAAGCAGCCAGGAAGAGTATTGATAGAGATTTAATTTTGTATTTCACTTCTTTCTAGAAGAACTAGTACAAAAAATAATTTCTGTCCTTTTGCTGCTTAGTGACTGCAAATCTGACACAGAAAGCTCAGGAGGGGACTGCAACTGAAGGAGTCTCAATCTAACCTAATCAGAAAATGTAAAGTAACTTCTCAGCTAACATATTTGAGATAGCTAAAGATTGGAAGTAAAGACCATCTCTCCAAGCAAAAAGTTCGTAGAACTGTAGTAAAATTATTATATAAGCGAACATGAACATTGTGTATTTTCTCTGTTAAATCAGTTACCAGCCAATGAAACCGAGTACACTAATTAGTCCAACAGTTATATAAAATACATTCATAACCTTTAAATGATCATGCATTCAACCTGCAATGTCACTTCTAAATGAATACTGCTCAATTCCTTTTCTTGGAGTAAAAGTGAGAAAAGTAAGGACTTCGAGAGGAAAGCTCTTCAACTGGTGTTTAATATTTCATGCAGCTCAAGGGGAGTGGGATGATTTTAAGTTATCAATTCCTCCAGCAGAGAACTGCAGTCATATAAAGGTGTGTATTTCAGAGACAGACACTGGACCCAGTTTCCTGGCCGCATGCATGCACGGTCTCACACACAGAACACCACAACTCTCTTGCAGCATGCGAGATTCCCAAGACATCACAGCACATGCATTACTCTCAAAGTACCACAATTTGTAACAGTCTAGTTTCATATAAGTGCATCAGCTCTAGTTATTAAACAACTAGATTTTAGAAAAAAAAAATAATAAAAAAGCAAAGAACATCCCATGCCATGAAGGAAATACTGAGAAACAAAAATGGGATAGTTACTACTACTGTGATCTTTGCCTAGACATAGTCGTTTCAAGGTGGACCCTACAAGGTAAAACAATACAAGACACACAGAATTAGGTAAGACTAAACACAACAAATTGGACGGACAAGCTTCTGTATTTTTAAGCAATCAAAAAAGTAGTTATTATGCAAGAAAGGACAGACAAAGTCAGCAGTTCAGGTGAGTAAAGGAAGCCTAAATAACTGGACAGCTCAAACCTTTCTTAATGTGCAGCCATTCAAAAGCTTTGTAAAGTACCACAGCATGCCAAAAGCAAGGGCTTGTGACTTAAAGATGCATTTGTTTGGTTTATTTTGGTTGGTTGGTTTTTAATTTTTTTTTCTCCAAATTGCCTTGGCTTCCTAATAGAAGGTTTTGATTTGTTTCCTATTAATGCAGGAAATGATGTCAATTTAGTTTGTGATTGGAGGCCAAAAATGCTTTCAGGAACAAGTCAAGCTAGTCTGGCTGCAAAGACAAACCATAAAACCACCCTAAAAATCTTGTTTTACAAGTCCAAAAAGATACATTGTTCTGCAGGTCTGAGGCCAATTGTTTCCAAATAATTTATTTGTAGGATTTGTGTCTAAATGTGAGACTCTGAACTTCAACTGAACGGAACTATGAATGAGTTTCCCTTATGCCTTGTCCAAGTGCAGAAAAATAATCCACCAGGATAGCCGAGTTTTAATTTAACTAAACTATGTGTTTTTTCCATTATTGTCTCATTCCATCCTTCATCATGATTTTACAGTCTGTTGATAGAGTGCCAGAAGTGTGCCGAGACCCCAACTTGACTGTCAGATCTTGCCAGACATTGGCACCATTGCTATTTGGATGCCAAATTTCCTGAAAGGTATTTTGGACTTGATAAGAAGAATATTGTTATGGAATGGGGATAGATGACTGTCTGACATGGGCTATGGTGGGTTCATTGGGAAGAAGCACTTGAAACCATGAGCAAAATCAGACTGGGGCAAAATAGTAAGATCGAGGATGGATGTGCTTTTTCTCTAGAGTAAACAGTGGTGTAACATTTTGTTACTGTGCCAGAAACGGAGCTTTAAACTCAGAGATTGCAGGTCCAGGCTGGCACAGGCCCTGAATGAGTCTTCAGAGGAGAAGGAAGCCATTTCAGTCAGAGACTGAGGAAGAGAAAGTAAAGAAATGAGAGAGGGAGGAAGTAAGGAGAAGAGATGTTTGCACTTAGATATGGGTGGCATGAGGAACAGAGGACTGCTTTGAAAGAATTTATTATTTCATATAGTTCACGTAGGATTCTACCCTGGGAAAATAAGGACATGACTACAGAAAAACAAAAGCATGACCAAATTCAGTTCTCATCTCAAAGCCCAGATAGCAAACACAGTCACATTCACAACTCAACCATCTGTCTTGTATTCTTATATCTTTTGCCCTCTTTTCCCTCAGATACACCTTACCTTGCCTATCCCAAAGTTAGCTACTAATTTCCACAATGGAAACAAGTCCCCACGATGGCAGTGGCCACGGCAGCAATCCTAAAGACTATTTCCTGTAGCAACAGGCACTTCTTAGCATAATATGAATGCAAATGGAAAGCACCTGCCTGCGAGAAATATAAGCAGGGAGCTGACTGCAGTACATGCTCAAACGCATGTAAAAACACCTTAATCACCAACCTCTCTGCTTCCTGCACAGCCAGGCACAGGTTTCCCAGCAGCTCAGTTGCCAAACCCAGCCCGGGGAAGTGAGAGAGAGCGGAGATACTCAACACACTCACGAAACACCCGCGTGAGGGGCGCCAGCTCTGAGGAAAACATCACAGGAGAATCAGGCACCGAGAAGAGAGCTGCTCCTTCCAGCAGCATCATCCCAGTGAGGGGCTTGGGAGATGGGAAACCTTCCCTAAGTGGTAAGACTGCCTCAAGCAGGGACTGACGGTCATCAGGCACAGCTGGTTATGAACTCAAATTCAATAAAAAATTCACTCTGTAGATCTAATTCACCAGATTAATTGTATTACTGCCGAAATTAATGTGTGTAAGAACTGTAAAGTTAAGGAGAGGAATTATAAGTAAGATTTAATGTAAGACTGCAAAAGTTCAGCAGAGCATTTTACCTCTAATTCTGGATCTCTTACCTGAGGAATTAAATAGCTATTATATCATACAGAACAGAAAAAATCCACTGTCCCATATTTGCACTAACAGCTGCCAAAAAGCTAGAAAGCTATAAAAAATGGAAATGGCAACAAATTCCTAGACCATTTCCATAACTGCATATGCACATACAGTATATGAATTGCTACAGACCTGGCAAAAATTGCATTACACAAGATTCCAAGCCCAGTCCAAACAGAGCTTTGAGAATTCCACTCACGATGAGTGGAAACTCTTCCCTAGGGCACCCCTGCAGTTTAACCCAGGAAAGGAACTCAGGATAAAATTATGCCAAAGCCCATCAAAAATATTTTATTTCATGAAACATACAAAGGTGAAGTCAATATTTGACATGGGCAACAGATCAGAAAGTCCTGGAGAACACTGTGAAAGTATTCGAGTCCAATAGATCTTGTCACCAAAGCAAGATCCTTGTGATACTATCTTTAATCCACCTGAACATTTATTTTTAAAGTTGTTGCCAACTTTTCTGCCAGTGCAGCAGGTCTCCTGCTGGCATATCCCGCCTCACCAAAGGCCTGTTTTTCCTTAACCAGACATACAGATTCAGAGCATTTCTGAAAATGCAGCACATTTCCCAACAGCCCTCAAACAAAAAAAAATATACCAGGGAAATCTTAACTTATGGAATAGACCCAAGACTCTGACTGTCTGAAGGTGCCACCAAGCTGCTGGCACTGGACAGCCATGTCACAGCCCTCTACAAATGTACAGAGGATGGAACCCTGCCTGCCAGTGGTTTGGGTTGGAAGGGACCTTAAAGCCCATCCATTGCCAACCCTGCCATGGGCAGGGAGGCCTTCCACTGTCCCAGGTTGCTCCAAGCCCTGTCCAACCTGGCCTTGGACATTCCAGGGATGGGGCATGGATGCAAACACACTTAGCACCTAATCCAAATGCTTGGCTTTGCCTGCCTGCTGGGTCCACTGACGTCCCTTCAAGAGGGGAAGGAACACAAGCCAGCTGGTATTGCCAACATCATCACCTTCAAATATCAGAATCAAAGGATGGTTTATGTTGGAAGAGACCTTAAAAGCCCATCTTGCTCCAACCCCCTGCCATGGACAGGGACACCTTCCACTAGACCAGGCTGCTCCAAGCTCCACCCAACCTGGCCTCCCTCAAACACTGTTTTTCCTCATGCTCCAGTCATGGCTGCTCTGGATCCCAGCTTCACAGAACATCCTGCTGTCCATCCTGCCCACCGCTGTCCCAGCCCCAGCCACCACCCTGGGGAAGGGCAGGAATGTACACAGTCCCAGCCCTTCACTCACACACATCCCACCTGCCGGGCTCACAGGAAAATAAGCTGGAATAGCCTCTTGCCCCACCAGAACCAGACCTGCCCATAGCTCAACCATAGGGACAGGTGAGAGGCACTCCAGGTGAGAGGCTCCCCTGGCAGCCAAGCTGTGCTCTCCGGCCTGGGACTCTCAGGGCTGACCTAGGATTGCAGTGCTGCATTAAATGCCTGAACTGTGCCCGTCTCCTGGAGTAACTCAGGGACGGGGGAGACCAAACCTCCCCCAGCACTAGCCCAGAACATGAGAGAGTACATGGGCTGAGAACAGAAAAGCAGTTAGTCATGCTGAGTTATTTAAGCATCAGGAAACTTCACGATTCAAAGGATTTACATATTCCCTTGGTTTCATTCACAATATCCGTGCACCCAAACATTTTTAATACACTGTTTTTTAATTGCCATCTCCCAGACTTTTGGCATCCTACTGAATAGTAATTCCCTGGAATATTAATGGAACAACTTCTGGGAATTACACGTGCAGAGGAAGAAATTACTGTGGCCACTATGACCAGTGACGAGGAACATTTGGGTGCTGAGAATTCCCCTCAGGTTCTCAGAAAAAATCCCTAAATGCAAAATAGTCTCATGACTTCACCAGTCGTTAAAAGCTTACATAATAATAAATTCTGTAAACATCAGTCACCTGAGTGTTTGGACTTTCAGGGAGGTCAAATAAAAAAATTGAGATTGTTTTTAAAAATATTGTTTGTTCATAAAATTAGGAGGAATGTATTGGAGTGGTCTTGTGCCTTTGACCTGACCCACTTGGATATCAATGAGCAGCGCAGAACTCCAAGGGGAGATCTGATCCTACTGTAAACCCACAGTTATTTAACCAAACGCTTTCTCATGAACGTTATCAGCCCTTCTAAGGTTACATTTAAGTGGCCTATAGTACCTGTTCAGCACAACATATCTTTATTGTACGAGCAAAATCCGTTTGCCTAAAAAGCAGCATCTACAATTCGGTAAAAAAGAGTCTTAATTTTTTTATTAAGTAGCTTGATATCCTTTGGTGGAATTGCCAATTACTTTAGAAGTCAGACAAATAGGGTACAAATAGAAGGTGCACAGTTATTTGAGACAAAACTCCTGGATCCTAGCAATCCATTTCCAAGTATCATCAGAATATCAGATATTGCTTTTTACTTATTTACGCTTTGATGAACTGCTAATTGACTTCATCTCTGAGGTCACATAAGGTCATAAGAAAATAAACTGAGTCAAGTGCTTCAGCCAGATCAGCTTACACAAAAAGTTGATGAGACTCTCCCTTAGAGTAACCAGATCTTCCTGATGCTTATGAGTTCATCAAAGAATTGCTCACTTAAACTAATTAAAGTGACTGCATGGGGAAAAGCCCACCTGGGACAGAGATTTGGAAAGAACTAGCTGGAGCACTGTTGTCTCAGCATTTCCACATGCAAAGAGCAGGGAAAAAATTAAAGAAAATAGAGTGAATATAAACAGTAGTGTATATCGAGTTAATACAGCCCTTGTATGGAAGTTATACCCTCCAGTGACCTTCTAGAATTGTATCAGCTTGCTACATGCATTTCTTCAGAGTCCAAACATGTGTGAAAGAGACCATTCGTCTACAGAAGGATGGATTTCGTTTTGTTGTCGCTGGAACTGGGACAGCAGACATGTATATTTGCCACATTGCAAATAAAATTACTTCAACAGAAATCACATAAAGTACAAAAGCTTTGGTAAGTCCAGGGTAAAATTTACCATCAGGCTATATATAATAAATGATGAGATCTTCCACACATGCTTTTGGTGCCCAGGCATGAGCCAAAAGCAGTGCAAAAAAAGCTTTCACATGAAAAATTAATATAAATAAGGTGTGTTCATGATGATTACTTAAAAGAAAAAGAAAGAAAAGATGATTCAGAAAAAGGGGCATCCTGCCAAACACATTAGAGATATAAACCATGGAATTGGAAAAAGGGGTAAAAGAAAGATGGACTGTGATAAAATACAAAAGAACAAATACAAACAGATGGACAAAGACACAGGTCCACTGAGGAATCTGGTACGAGGTTTGCTACTAGATTTATAGGTCACTCTCTCAGACGTTTGGTGGAAAACCGTCCAGCCTGTAAATGAATATAAAGGGAAGAAAACAAAGACACTTATAAAGTACAAGTAGCTGTGATCAGATGTCCTAAACCATCAGTCAAATCAGCTTTGTTAGTTAAATCTCCAAATCTCCCCCTTAACTTTGGCAAAGAGGAGCAGGTTCACTGACCATACACAAAGGATGCAATAACAGTAGAAGAGGACAGATAGATATTTTGTCGATTAGTTTGGCAGGATGTGCAATGTGAGGAAGGTATTTTAATCATCATTGGAACTTCCCATATGCATGGCAACAAGATCAGTCAAAGCCTATGACAGGGGGCAATACACAGAGGTCTCAGGGCTGGGGTCTTGGGAGCACAGCCAGTCTAGAGTCCTGTGGCTGGGTCTCGAAAATTATGCACTAAGTGAACCCCTCATAGAAAGGAAACATAACTTGGTTCCCTGAGTTTGGTTTTCTTTTAATTTCATTTTTATTTTCTCTCATGCCCAAGACGGTTTGGTAGTTTATAAAAAGGAACTTGGGGTCTACCAGAATCAAGGGGTTTTAAAAAAATGAAACAAAGCAAACACTCTCCTAGCCTTCTGTATCTTTTTATTTTCCGTTCATTTTTTCTCAGGAATCGGTAAGGCAGACTCCAGAGAAGGAATTAGGATAAAGCCACTGCTGGCAAAACTGAAAGGTATTTATTTCCTAAGAATCGGGGATGTCTTGGGCATGCCTTAAGTGTTGGTAACACTTGGTATGATACTTAAATTTTGCTCTTTCTGACAATACTGCAATGCTCTTTTTAAAGATAAGCCAGCAATTTGGATTGTCAAAGGCTGACGTTCCTCTATCACTCCTAAAAAGTTCAAGCCCAAGGGAAGGGAACTAATTTCAGCATGTGCTGGAAGAGACACAAAACAGGCAGCAGGAATAATCACCTTGGCCAGAGCTTGCGTTGGCGTCGGCTGTGTCGGGGCCCAGGCCGGAGCAGATGTCAGAGGACAGAGAGGCTTTGACAGAGCAGGGCTGCTGGGTCTGCACAGCCTTGCCTACGGCGGGGGCTGAGCCAGGAGGCACCGCGGCCACTTCAGGGGAGCCGGGCTGAGAGTTACTGCTCTCTTTGTGGGGCGAGTCTTTAGAGTCTGAAAGGTTACCTGAAAGAGCAAACAAACACAACACATTCAATGGCAACATCTAGGAAAACTCTGAATAATCTCTGAAAACTCTGCCTAAAAATAATCCATATCTTGACCCCAAGAGGAACAGCTGTTCACCATTCTGATGTAGCAGATGGAGCAAAGACTTTGGGGACAGTCTGCACCAGAAAAAAATCAACATCTCCGATCATTGATCCTGTTTCTCCAGGTTTCATTTTCATAGTTTCTCCTCTGTATTTTCAGGACCCCCAGAAGGAGCACTGCTAGAATAAAGAGACAGCTCCTGGGGGGCTAAGGAGGAGGATGAATGCACAGAATGACAAAGCAAGTCACAGAGGTTTGCTCTCCCACACCAAAGGTGAAATTAAGCAAATGGAGAAGAATAAAAAGTTGCAGCAAAGACACAAGGAACATTTTATATATAGCTATTTTAGTATAATTGTCATTGCCACTGTTAGATGCTTCTGCTGATAAATTCATGTCACATATGAATGCAAAGGTATTTTGGTTTTTAAGCCTCTTTACATGAGATATTTGTGTAGACAAAAGTACAGATAGAGACATCTAGACATCTACAGATATGTATCAATATATAAATATCTAGACGGATGTAGAAGTACAGACAGTATCAAACACTGTTTCAGTCCCTGTGGGCAAGAACACAGTCTCAAGATGGGCCACACAGAACTTATTGCCTCTGAATGTATTTGTTTTTCCCAACTCACCTGAAATCCTTAGCTAAAAGCAAAATCCTCCTCAACACCCTGTCTATAAAGATTGATGCAACAAAATTCAAAGGGGCCCTATGATGCAGTAATATTGAAAACAAGAGCCACCAGGTTTGAAATAAAGGGTGAATGCTGGAAATGCTGCTGCTCCCCCAAATAACAGCATAAACTAAGCTGAAGAAAAAGATATGCATTTTCTATTCTACATTTGCTGAAGAAATAGGTATTGGGGTTTACCTGTATTTCCCAGGAAAATTTTATTTTTGTACTTTTCCAAGAGATAAAAACTCAAGACTGTAGTGCTGTGTGAAAATCTCACACTACTTCAGATGGTCATCCACCATGGTTTTGTAACTGCTTTTACCTCCCATCCTTGTGGGAGCAAATGCAATCCCATCTTTTATATATGACATCTTGGAGGAAAAAGTAAACAACAACAAGATACAGCACCTAATCAATAGCACATATCAGCACCTAAGAAGTGAATACAAACATCATTAAATTGCATTTGGAGAACAGAGGAGATGTAACCAGGCTGTTTTCCAAATTAAGGTGAAATATTATTCCTTTGCCAAGCACTGTAGCCAATGCAGAGCAGGCAGGTATGGCTCACCACCGGCAGCTGGGACAAGCCTGTCGAAAAGCATGCCAGGTCAAAAACAACCAAAGTTCCATCCTTTCCAGCAGTCCCAGCCATCACAGAGCAGAGCCACTACTGACACAAGCAACGGGTGAAGGGAAGCACTCAGTGTACCTACTTGTGCTTGATGTTCCACTCCTGAGCTGCTGGACCAGAGGGTTTAAGAGTTTTCCAGCTTTCAATTTGTTTTTGCTGGTTCTGCGGCGCCGGCCACTCGGTGGGGCAGAGTGAAGGAAGCCCAGGTTGGGAGGAAGGGGTTTCCCCAGCCGAATATACAGTGCCTCTATCTCATTCTTCTGCTGCGTCTGCAGCTCAGCGATCTCTTTCATATGCCTAAAAAAATAAAAGAGCTCTGCTAGCAATGTATTTGATAAGGTACCACATCCTGACAGCATAATTAATTGTAAAACAAAACAATCAGTTGCTCATCCCCAAGCATGCAAAGCTACAACAATCTATCTGTGGTGGCTCCCCACCCCTGGAAGTCTCCAAGGCCAGGCTGGACAGGGCTTGGAGCAACCTTATGTAACAGAAGGTGCCCCTGCCCATGGCGGAGGGTGGAATGAGAAGATCTTTAAGGTCCTTTCCAACCCAAAACATTCTGGGATTCTATGAGTTATTCTTCTAACTGGAATTGGCAGATAAGGCAATGCACAGCAGGATGCATGCCGGGGAAAGTCCTGGCAATGCCTAATTTGCCTAGAACCAGTTTATTCCTTACAGCTCTGCTCATCCTAAGATGAGCTGCTGCCAAAGTATGGTAACACAAGCTTCCCTCTCATCACTTGCAACCCAACATACTTTTCTCTCAGGTTCTGCAATTCTTTCTTCATATCAGCATCTTCAAACTCTGAGTCATTGTCACTGCTCATGTATGACGACTGTGAGTGGAAGGACGTGATGTTGATGGTAGGAATCTTCGCACCTTGCCCGTTGGGTGACTCTGGGCCGGGGGAGCCACCTTTGCCAGACCTCTGCAGAAAAGCAGCTGCTTTTTTAATTAAATCCGTAGCTGTGCTGCTGCTTGGGGGGGAGAGCTGTGCAGCTGCAGCCACCGGCTGCCGTGGGAAAGGCTCGTCGGCCGAGTCGCTCGAGGCCTGGTCGCACAGGACGTCCACGGAAGAGGCCGTCTGGACCCTGCGGACAGCAGCCTTCATGTCGGGGCTGGAGGGCAGCTCATCCAGGTACACGTCTGGGGGCGCTGAGAACCTCAGGCAGTGCGGTGCCGCTAAAGTTAATTCATCCTGCATGCTGACAACTGAAAACCTGCCAATGGTTTTGGCTGGCATGACGCTCTCCTGAGCCCCAGCCTGTTTTCCATAGGAACCAGAGCAGGGAGAGCCATCCCTGTGGAAGTTATTTATCGCCCCATCTGCTTTTGCTCGCTGCGTCACACTCTCCGCATGCACAGGCAAAGCCGTCCTCTCTGCCTCCTCACTGCTCTGGAAAGCCTCCATCTGTGGAACTGTGCCTGATGATGGAGGTGCAACCTGGAGAAAATAAGAGAGCTTAACGGAAGGAACTGGAACAAT